GAGAGAGAGAGAAAGAGAGAGAGAATATATCAAATTAGCTAAATTTAACAGGATTAAAGATATCCAGAGTAGAATTTTTATTTAAATCTATTATTATCAACCTAAACTAGACCTCAGTACCTCCAAAACATTTAAAGGCAGGTACAAATGTTATAAGAAACATGACACATCCCTGTCAAGTCCTGCAATTCCAAGTTGCTATAATCATTCTGACATGCCCAGATATTTTTTTTCAGTGCTATGTCCGTTGTCTCATACCCATAGCTGAAGCAGCTCAATGCAGCATTTTCACTCTTCTCCCAACTCATTTTCCAGATGTGGCTGATATGGCCATCTGCTCAGTTTCTATTGGCTGTTTTAGGCTGTAGGCATGCCCACTCTGCTTTGGTTGCTGACATTGCCCCCATGCCCATTTTGGCTTTGCTTGTAGAAGAGATCGGATATCTGACTACTGCAGTGTCATCTCCTTGCATAATGGCTGACATTGTGCTTTCTAGTGGGTTTAGTGCACTTTTGAAAGAGCACTAGTACAGCTCAATTTAAATCAGGAAAAAGAGCCAGGAACTGCTAATCTATGTATTGCTGCTTCTGTCACCAGTGAGTGGCTTTATAGATTTTCCATAGCTTTTGCTGACAAGGGGTTTCCCGTGAACATGTTAATGTTCTGATTTTATTAGTATGGTTGGGAGGAATGCCATTTTGCCTACTCCATGAAATCCCTCTGAGTGCTGCCAGCCATTTATGGTGAGACCTGCCACTTCCTTGCAGCACTAGTTAGGAAGGGGCTTGCTTGTTATTGCCTGCCCCCTTCCGCTCCCAAGGAATGTGTATCAATACTTAACTATGTACACAGACACAGGACTTGATACATCTTCCCTCTTTAAAGTTCAAAGTGAATTTTGTGTTTCATTTACTCACTAATTAACAAAATGCCTCCTACTTCTGGCATTGTTTGTGTTTTTAGAGCATCCTCGAGAAAGGAATATATTTCTAATATGCATCTCGCTTCAGTTTTCACTGGCACTTGGGAATCTCCTCTCCTCTTTTTCTCTACCTCTGTGCCTACGTTCCTCTTTTGTTCACTACTCCAATCTTACTAACTTTGTATTCTGGCCTGTTTGCAACTAACATGAAATGGATGTGTGAAGCCCTAGGATAATGAAGTTAGTTATGTGTCTAGCAGCAGACATTTCTTCCTCTCAGTCTCTCAATAGCAATGACAGCAGGGTCTCTCAAAAGACAAAATTGTTGTTGGATAGCAAGGTATGTAGAGTAAAGCCTGATGTGCAGTAAATTAGCCACTTGTATCTTGCACAGAGAGTTTGTCTGACATAACTGATTTATCTAATTTTCTCTGTGATACTAGGCCCAAGACACAACATGGATGCTGTATTTCACTAATGGATCTTCTCAGACCCTACTGTTCCTTATGGTTTTCCAGGTTCAGCCCTTAAAGGCCTCTTTATTTTAAAGATCTTTTTAAAGGATAATTTATTCAGGCATGGCCACTTCCATATTAGAAGAATGAGAATTATCATCTGTGTGCTTTTGTGAAGATATGAAGACTTCTTTCAGTCTGGATCTGGCAACATTGCATCCTCTGGCTTATGGAATCAGTGTCAGATCTGGCTAAGCATAAAATATTCTGTCAAATTATTTAAATCATGTTAATTTTTTTTAAGTACTGGTTTTCCTTACATTATTTTGAAAAACAAAGTCATAATAACATAGAA